GACATTCTCTTACCCCCGAACCCGGTGCAGCCACGTAACAGAAATTTTAATATATATAATATCGGCTGTTGAAACAGCTGCTCGGAGTCACGGAAGCACGAAAGCTACTTTGCGAAAAAAGAGTCGTTTTAAAATTATAAAAAATAAAGCACCGAACTAAGTTTTTATCAAACATGTTGCAATGGCGTCGAAAAAGAGCGGCTTGTACTAAATGTTTGTGGTCGGCACAAGTTGGATATGTTTGTGTTGTTCCTATAATTGAGTGTTTTTAATAGCCGCTTTAAGTGTACAAGCTAACAATAACAAGGAAGAACGCCATAGTGGAGTACCTCGACTATCAGATACCCGTTACTCAGCTAAATAGAGATATGCAAGTAGCAAAGCGAGATTAAAATGCGCCACCTACCGGCGGTATACAGATTTAAGCGTTATGGGCGTTAGAGTGGGCGTGGCAAATTTTTTTTGGACCAATCGATAGGTATTGACGAGACCAATACATTTCAGTTAAAATTTTTTATCTAGCATAAAAATTGTGGGCGTCACAGGTTTTCGCGGTTTGTGGGCGTTTAAGTGGGCGTGGAAAACTTTTTTTTTGGGTCAATCGATAGGTATTGATGAGAACAATATATTTCAGTTAAAATTTTCTATCTAGCATCAAAACTGTAGGAGCCCCATTTTTGGGCGGCTTGTGGGCGTTAGAGTGGGCGTGGCACTCTACTGAAACAAACTTGCGCTGCGCAGGAATCTCAGGAATCTGCGTGCCTAATCCCAGTATTGTAACTCTCATAGTTTCCGAGATCTCAGCGTTCATACGGACAGACGGACATGGCTAGATCGACTCGGCTAGTGATCCTGATCAAGAATATATATACTTTATGGGGTCGGAAACGCTTCCTTCTGCCTGTTACATACTTTCCGACGAATCTAGTATACCCTTTTACTCTAAGAGTAACGGGTATAAAAACTATCATTTAACTAGAGATATAAAGTGAGTTTCCCCTAGTTTCACCTTAATCTTTACACTGTGTTGTCGGTAGTTCAGTTCTTTTTGTATGAATTCAATCCTAAAGTTCACTTTTGCACACTTTCGTCGCAATTTACCTTTTTAGGTCACAACCTCAGGTTGGCCAATACAGAATTGCTTGGGATTTGGAGTTCTGGACAGATAAAGCAGGCAACATTTGACAGACTTAGATCTTTGATAGCTGGCTCATATGCTTGTGAGGATGTTTTGAAAAAACAAAGCAAAACTTTTTGTTATAGACTCTTCCGCAAATGGACGTCTTGCAAAAGAAATTTGAATCATTTGAAAAGAAAGTACTCGACTTGGCTTACATCCCACACTGAGGTTTGCATAAATAGGCGGAGATCGATAGGCAGGCAGGCCAAAATTGCCTCATTTGTTTTGGGAGCAAGGGCTCAGAGAAAAGTAGCTTCAAATTTAATCAAATCCACGTCTGGAAATATTAAATTATTAATAAATTCAGCTAGTGCGGCTGTGCGTAAGGCCGGTAACATGTAAAAAGTGGGCAGTGCCGCAACTTTTTTCTCAATGTATGTTTATTATATCAATATTAAACCAAATCAAATATATACACCTTTATATAAACTTTTGTTTTTAGTGTAAGCCTTTTCTTATCTATTTTTATATTTTTTTAATGATATAACAAGAAATGTCTTCCAAAAAAGGGCGGTGAGACGCCTTTTCTCCGTTCATGTCCTTACTGTAAACCCAAATAAAAAAATGAACTCAAATATTTGGTTTTGTTTTGAAGTTATTAATTTTGGCCACAAAAAGTGGTCAATGTACAATGGCTCAGAACTGGTTATCAGCAAATTATGGTTTATTTTTACAGAAAAAACTGCTGGAGAGATAACGCTAAATACTTACCCTAGTAAATAAATAGCTGTAATAACACCAGCTATGACAAAGCTTATTACAATTAAGGACAAAATAATACTTCGCCAATTGTGACCTTCATCCGAATCAATATACTGATCTTTTTGGTTGGGATCTTGAACCTGCAAAGTTTCATCCGGTGGTAGTCTCCAAGAACCACCTCGATCTGAAGTCACATTAGCATGCATTATGTAATTCAAGTTAAAGAGTCAAGTTGACGTCAAGCAGGATAGTCTATGCCAGGACAGCTTCTGCAATTAGGATCGTTTTATTTTATAATTAATATCTAATAATTATAATTTATTTTTCCATCACTAAACTCTTATTTGCTCAGGTTATAAGTGAACTAAAAAAACCTGTAAGAAGTACAAATTCAACAAGTTATTTAATTATGCATATTTTAAAAATACCAAGGAAGAACGCTTTAGTCAAGTATCTTGACTATCAGATACCCGTTAGTCAGCTAAAGGGTACAAAGGGAAATGTAGATATGCAAGCAGCAAGGAGAGATGGAAATGCGCCACCTACCCACGATCTCAATATATGGTTATGTGGGCGGTGGACAGATTTAAGCGTTGTAGGCGTTAGAGTGGGCGTGCAAACTTTTTTTTTGGGTCAGTCGATAGGTATTGACTCAGCTAATATTTTTATTCTAGCATCAAAACTATAGGAGCAACAGTTTTGGGCGTAACCTCGTTTTTATCTCTTTCCAGCATAACTGCAGCTTGATCACTACCTTTATTTTTGTTCTTGCATACGTATTTAAATGATTTTATTGAACGGAAGAGCTCTACATTAATATGAGCCTCAACAGTCCGTAAGAGAACACAACTATAAGGCACAACCCACCTACTGTCCATTCTGTTTACAATAATTTACATGGTGTAGCCACCATCGTCAGGTTCCTTTTTGGAATCTAGAATTTCTGCAGATATAACAGATTGTAGCGTTGACTGCCCTTCTGTCTCTATAGTCTGTAACAGCACATAGGCAATCTATTGAATAAGCATCGTATTTCCGGCAGCTTACTAAGAAGTTTTCGCAGTTGATGAAACCGTTATATATCTTAACTTCAGTCAAAACTAAATTTATTTGGAGAGCACAACATGAACACATACCGATGAGCCTGTCCTTGCTATTTTTGACACAAATTATCCAATTGAATTGCATACAGATGCAAACTTCATTAAGAATTTTCGACATTATTTGTTGGGCAGGAAGTTTACTATGTATACCGACTCTAACTCATTGAAGGTGTCAAGAAATAAACAAGTTTTGACCCCTAGAGCACAGTGTTGGTGTACTTTTGTGCAGTCATTTACGTTCGATTTTCAGAAGAGAAATCCTATCTCCCAGGGTCCACTTTTGCTGTAAAGGTAATTGATGAGAAGAGAATTAACATGGGCGAAATTTCAAGTAATTGGCTCATCTCTGAACAGCGTCGAGACTCAGACATAGCTGATATTGTGAGTAAATTTAAAAATTCTTATCTTGCTGAAGATTTTGCGATAACCTATGAACTAAGGGCAGGAAAATACAGAGGTATGGCAGAACCCGCCGTTTACCGGTGGTGCCGCGTACTTCCAGATGGTCCGGCCTAAACCAAGTTCATGAGTCGATAATGCCTTTAGGTTTCGAAGAGACCCTGGATAAAGTTTACGATTTTTACTGGTTTGGCAATATGTCATTGTCAATTCGTTGACAATTGCATCACTTTCAGATGTCTAAATCAACTTTAGGAAAACTTCAGCCTGAGCTGTGTCCAATTCCAAAAGTAAATATTTCTAACCACACTATTCACATCGATATAACAGGGAAATTAAGCGGCAAGTGTGACCAAAAGGAGTATGTTATGGAGAGGTGCTAGGAGAGGTGCAGTTAGCAATCAATTGTTTAACTAATCGTGTGACGAAGGCTACATTAACCTTGTGACATAGAAAATTATGTTAATCTGTCGAACGTGAGAGCACAATCGGAGCATGGTGTGTGGTGCATTAGATATGAGGATTGATGCATCTTGTACCGTTACAAAGTTTTGGAGGTCTTAAATTTCTTATCAGCATAATTGGTGCACCAATCTTATGTCTAATATTGTATTTAGCAATTCCTGATGGATTTTTTGTAGTTGAGAAATTCAATCGTATAATGAAGTGCCTCATCAACATCAGTGACTGAATCAATAGACTTGTACGCAACTTCAGTTCCATCAAATGATTCTAAAAGTGTATTATTTATTGACGCAGCTCTGTCATAATATTGCCCTTTCCGAAAACCAATCTAATGGCATTATTGAAATTTTAGAATTTATAAGTTACAACCATTCCTAAACATGAAGGGAAAGCTATTTTCCCATCGTTAGTTTGAAAAACACCGTCTCCAATTCTCAATATTGTTTGTGGGAAAATTCCTGCATTTGGATCACCACTTAAATGCACACGAATGTTTTTATTAGGGCACAATATTTGTATAGTGGGCCAAAGAAATGATGACTTTAATTGCTATTAATTTTTTCTATTTTTTTATTAATTATATTTTATCACACAACTTCAGGGACCGTTTGCCGAAAATCTCCACATAATAAAACCTTGATACCTCCCATTAGAAAATCATTACACCAAATATCTTTCAACATTCTATCTGTTGAGGCCAGCGCCACCCTGTCCTCGAATTTACGTAGCACGTCCCGGTTCTAATAAAACTCGCAGGGTAACATATATCCAATTTATTATTCAATATATATATCTGCTGGCTGTGTGGCGTTACATATAGCCGTGAGAAAAATAAGTAAGGGAACCGCTTTAAAATTAACCGTAGCAGACGGTGGCTAGTGCTGTACTGAATAAGCGCGGGCGAAGTAAGTGCTCGCGTACCCGACAAGTGCGCTTAAAGCTTGTGTTGAACGGTAAAATTCCAGCCACTCATCTGCTGATTGGAACATTATAGCGGGCTCATTAGATCTGTCTATTTTAACAGTTTTCGGCGGCGACATTCTCCCCCCGGTAAACTTGGCTCTCCTGCGTCTGGGTTACTCTCAATCTTGCAGCTTCGTTACGGGTCGTCGAAAGATGCCGTGGGCAGTCTTGATCGTAGCGCTTCTTACTTGCTGGTCCTTGGCTAAGACCACATCGGTGACTATTCCTTTCGGCAACGTGTTTCGTGGTAAGTTCTCGTCCACTATGAGGACGACGCTGCCAATCGTTAGAGGTGGCTGCTTGGCGTACCATTTCCCTCGGCGAGCTAAGTCGGGAACATATTCCCTGACCCATCGTTTCCAGAAATGGTCGGCGAATAGTTGAGCTGATTGCCACATGCATCGAACCGAGAGATTGTTGTCGAAGATGGGCTTATATCCGCTTACTGATCCCAGTAGCAAATGATTGGGTGTGATGGCTTCGTCGTCGTTGGTGTCCAGAGATACGAATGTGAGCGGCCTTGAGTTTATTATAAGTTCGATCTCCCAAAGTGCGCTTTGTAGACTCTCGCTAGTAAACTTCATCGCTGAGCAGATGGCGGACAGGAACCTTTTTATGGAGCCTATAAGGCGCTCCCATGCTCCCCTCATATGAGGCGCTGCTGGTGGGTTAAAGCTTCACTTAATTGTGTCGAACGATGTGTACACTTCGTCGAAGGCAACTCTTGGAAGCTCCTCGCAGATCACCTTCTCGGAAGCTTTAAAATTAGTGCCGTTGTCTTCAATATAGGTGTCCCGCGGCGATTGAAGAAGTTGCGGATACACATGACGAGGCGTCGAGGGAGTGAGCTATTTCTAGATGCACTGCCGTGAGACAGGTAAAAATCACTCCCCATCGTTTCTCCTTCCTCCTGCCAACGGTCACGAGAATTGGTCCAAAGTAATCGATTCCAACGTAGGTAAATGGGCGTTGAAAAGCGGCGACTCTAGCAATGGGAAGTTGGGCCATTAGCGGCGGTTTAGGGGAGGCATTATCGTTTCTGCAGAGCTGACATGCTCGTCGGGCTGACATGTATAAAACTCTTAAGCGTGGTATATAATAAATGCCACGAATCCTATTGATGCAGGCCTCGTGCATGGTGTGGTGCATCTGACGGTGATACCAGTTAACAATTAGGCGTGTTACGTAATGTCCGTAAGGGAGTACTATTTGCTGTTGGGGGCACAAGTTTTCAGCTCTCCCTCGGATCCGTAGCAACTGGTCATCGTCTAGAAACACATTACGACAAATTAATTTTGAATTTGCGTTTAGAGCTTTACCTTTGGAGAGTAAACATATTTCTTTTCGGAACTCTGATACTTGCGCGTAGCGTAGCAGTGTTGTTTGAGCGCGGCGTATCATCTCGGCGTTAATGCTCGTAATCGGAGGCGTTTTCCTCGCTGTTGCTTTCAGCTTTTCGATGTATAATATGAACGTTGCTACCGCTCGATATAGCCTCCGCCAGTCGGAAAAGTGTCCTACGTTCACGATGGTGTCCAGTGGTGTAGTAGCGACGAAAAATACCTGCTTCACTTCGATGTTGGTTGGGGCTCCTAGGTCGGTACAGGTGGGCCAACGAGAGCGTTCCTGGAGAAGACACTCCGGGCCATCAAACCATTTATGCATGGAAGTGAAACTCGAAGTCTTAGTGGCGATGTCAGCAGGGTTTAAGTCTGATGGGACCCAGTACCATTGGTCGACATTGGTGAGCTCCAACACTTCTCCTACGCGATGCATTACGTACTGCTGGAACTTGCGCGGGTCCATTCGCAGCCATTTGAGGACTGTTTTGGAGTCCGTCCAGTAGTAATGGGAGTTAACTGATAGCCGAGAATTTTTTTGAATTGACTGGCTTAGCTTGGCACCAGTGACTGCTGCCTGTAATTCCATACGGGGGATGGACAGCGGGCTTAGCGGGGCCACTTTAGTTTTGGCTGCTAGCAGGCTAAGATAAACGGAGTTGCCTTGTTGGATGCGAAGATACGAGACTGCTGCATATGCAAGTTCACTTGCGTCTACGAAGGTATGGCGCTGCACGTCATGGATGTCCTCGTTGGTTTTGAAGAAGCATCGCGGAATCTTAACCGTGGCGATTAGGGCTAATGCCTGCTTCCATCGATTCCATCTTGGGAGCAGGCTTTCTGGTATGCAGTCGTCCCAGTCGGTGGGGGTCCGCCACACTTCTTGTAATAATATTTTCAGCTCTTTAGTGTAGCAGGCGATGAGGCCGAGGGGATCGTACATTGACATAAGTACTTGGAGGAGTTCCCGCTTCGAGGGTGCATCGTTTTCTGTCCATATGTCGCGTTTCAGACGGGAGAATTTGAAGATAAACGTTAGGTGGTCCGTTTCCGGGATCCAGTATAGGCCGAGGACTTTCTCGGCGGTGGTGATTTCGACCTCGGTTGACGATGATTCTCCGCCTAGTTCGCCAAGCACAGTCTTCGAGTTCGATGCCCAGTTGCGAATATAGAACCCTCCTGCGGCGTGAATATGGCGAACTTGTGTGGTGATTTCTATCACCTCCTTATTGTCGTTGCCGCTGTAGATAAAGTCGTCGACGTAGTGGTAATTTTTCACGGCTTGTGCGACGGCGGGATTTTGCTGTTGGAACCTGTCAGCGTTTCTGTCCCGTATGATGTGTGCGATACATGGAGCGCAGTTTATGCCGAATATGAGCGCTTCCATCGTGTAGACGCTTGGATGGTGTAGTTCGTCATCTTGGTCGTACCAAAGGAAGCGCTGAACGTGGGCATCTTCCGGCTTGACTCGAATTTGATGAAACATCTCCGCGATGTCACCAATGATCGCCACCTTTCCGGCGCGAAATGAGATCAGCAGATCCACCAACGGTTTCAAGAGGTCGGGACCGGCGTGTATGAAGTCGGTCAGGGATTGTCCCCCTGACTGCGCCGCTGCATCCCAAACTAGACGAACCCTATTAGGTTTGTTCGGGCTTGTAATTATAAAGGTTGGTAGATACCATACCCTCGCGTGTTCTTCCAATATCTCGGCTGCACTTAGCTTACGGGCATACTTCTTTTGCACGAGATTGTCGATCTCCTTTTGGGTTTGAATCTTTAGTGCTGGTTCCTTGATGAATTTCCGTTGTAGGCACTTCAGTCGTCTAAGGGCGTTTGGGTAACTATCTGGTAGAGCTGCGTTCTCGCTCTTCCACAGCAGTCTAATTTCATATCTGCCGTCCTCAAATCTGGCTGTCGAGTTCATGAAGGCTAGGGCACGGGAGTCAGCTTCAGAATATAGGTGGGCACGTCGAGGAGTCTCTACTGCGAAGGTTTGCTTAATGGCCTCGTGTAAGGCGGTGTCGGCTTCGTAGCATCTACACTCATGGATGTTAACGTGTCCCTCTGCGTTAGATCTTTTGCTCGGAGGGATTTGCAACGTCCATCCCAGTCGAGTTTTTGAAGCAATTGGCTGGCGCCACGCTCCCTCCCGGATTCTAAGAGGTACGGCTAGATTCCAGTTATCCGCTTCAACGATTATAGTTGGTCGCACGTTGGCATATGAGGTAATTGGTAGTCCTTTAAGGTACGGGAACTTCATGGCGAGCTCGTCCATGTTGGCGGACTGTATTGGTAAGTTTAGGCTTCTAACGCTGCGAACGTCTCTCAGTTTAAATTTGGCTCCGTTCTGCGTGTTGATGACACGTAAAGTCGCTGTTTTAGAAGTTTCTTCGGCACGGGTTGTATTGTCGGTCCATTTCAGGCAGAGTGGGTGTGGTACGCCTGTCACCCCCAGCTGCTGGAAGATAGTTTCTTCGATCAGCGTTACTGATGATCCTTCGTCTAGAAAGGCAAAGGTGTTAATTTGTTGAGTCTTATAATCGATTTTGATTGGTACGATACGGAAATTAGTTTGATCCGCATGTCTATGGGCGAGAATGTGACCGGTCTCCAGCTCGGGTGCTGTTGGCTGGCGCGGGTGTTCGGAGCGGTAGAGTTGTTCTGCATGCAGTAGGGGATGGTGACGTTCGCGACAGTTGTTTATGTTGCATGTCTTCCTTGAAAGGCACTGGCTTCGGTGCTTGTTGAGGCAATTGAGGCACAAGTGATGGGTGCGGGACACGTCCCATCTTTCTGCCGTGTTCATAGCGGAGAAGTTAGGGCAGGTTTGGATCTTGTGGTCTCCGGCATCGCATATCACGCATTTCCCTCTAAAACGAAGTGGCTCCTCACTCGCCGAATGGTAATTAAGGCGTTCGCTGCGCCCGAAGTAAAGTGGGGATGATACTTGACTAGCTGCTTCGGCGATTGTGTACATCCATTCGCTGAATACTTTCACCACCGGCACAGCGGTTTCTTTTGGGTGCATGGCCCATTGCAATTTTAGCTGCGAAGGAAGCTTTTCCACTAGTCCCTGCACAAGGAGTGGGTTGCTCATGTGGGCGACTAGCTCGCAGGCTTCCATCGTTAAATATATGTTTCTTACGCAGAGTGCGTACTCGATCAGAGGTTCTAGTTTGTCCTTTGGAGGCGGCATTTTCCGTGCTTTATCAAGCATTGTCTGAAGTACATGCTCTGGCCGACCGAAACACATTTGAAGTGTCTGTATGATTTCGGGGACCATCGCTGGTAATAGTAACTTACTATGTACTAGTTCTCGGGCTCTACTTCTTAGGCTTGACTGTAGGCGCATGAGGTTCTCCGCGTTGGTGTAGCCGGCGATCTCTGTGCTAGTTTGAAAACTGCTATAAGATAATGGCCAAGCTTGGGGGTTGCCATCGAATGCTGGCAACTCCCTTGGGATCGCTTGACGAGCGGCAATCTGCGAAGGTGTTGGTATGCCAGAGGTGAGCATTATTTTGTTGGCTGCGTCCCACTAATAAGCGCCCTGCGGCTTCGGCTTCCTTTGGTCTGATCAGCTGTTGCTTAACCGGGGACGGACCATGCGAGGTTAGGTTCGATAAACCGCATGGCGTTTGAGCGGGCTTTTCGCCTAAAGCTGAGATGCCACCCACTGCCATGCTAGTGGTCGTGAGCGTCGTCGACGCGGTTTGTGTATTTTTGTTAATGTGTTCCAGAGGGGAAGCTTGATATGACGGGTTGTATGGAAGTTTTGCCAATCCGTTTCCTTGCGTCGGTGATGAGGAGGCCTGAGGTTTGTGGAATGACATCGGCATTGTTGGCACTACTTCTGTGATGACGTCGCGTATTATATTCTCGCAGTCACATTGCCAGCTGTGATCATCATCAACGCCTACGCACTCGATGTGGTACCGGGAGTGGCATTTGCTGCACTGGACCATTCGATCACAATCCTCATGTGCACATCGCTTGCAATGGTACACTCCACTTGATAGGGTGTTGTTATCCATGTTGGGAATTGATGTAGGTCGGGCAGTTCCCCGAATATTGTTATTTTCACTTGGACGGGGCTAATGGACTATTAAGACGAGCACCACGTGATCCGCGTGTTTAGCTACGTAATTTATTACGATTATTTTTAAAGATTGTTGAGGCCAGCGGTACCCTGTCCTCGACTTTACCTAGCACGTCACGGTTCTAATAAAACTCGCAGGGTAACATATATCCAATTTATTATTCAATATATATAACTGCTGGCTGTATGGCGTTACATATAGCCGTGAGAAAAATAAGTACGGGAACCGCTTTAAAAATAATCGTAGCAGACGGTGGCTAGTGCTGTACTGAATAAGCGCGGGCGAAGTAAGTGCTCGCGTACCCGACAAGTGCGCTTAAAGCTTGTGTTGAACGGTACAATTCCAGCCACTCATCTGCTGATTGGAACATTGTGTTTCTATATTCATTGAATCTAATGGGACTTGAAACTCAGAATGCCACAGCCAATGCCATATTTTTATCGTTTCGAACTTTTGCTAGCAACAAATTCAATAAAAATGTCTTGCCTGTGCCACCGTGGGCACCAAAAAAATATTCTACGGTCGTCATTTCGTACACTTCATTTATTAGGGTACTTTCGTCATTACTAAATGCAATTTTATTAATATTATAGTTTATTTCATTCAAATATTCCCTATTTTGAATTGCTCTCCTAATTCTATAGTCTTCTATTAAAATAAGACACTAGTTCGTACCCAAGGGTGCTCAACATGACCAGCACCCAACAAATCAAGCAGTAACCAAGTTGGAAACAGTACCAGGCGCTCAGTAGCACCCACTCTAGATGAGAATTGCTAATAAGCATATGTCGAATTACGTTCGGGTTCCATTAGAGCAGAGTGCGTTTCGGTCTGAACACAGGCGTCGATTTACAGAGAGTGCCTATTCGATCTTGTAACTGGCTATTCTGTTCCTGCGAGCCACACACGGCGACAGTGACACAACGCTGTCGCCTCGCTATAACGGTTCCTCTCAAATAGGACATGACAAATTCCACGAAGCCTGCAAGGCAGCTGTGTGTCGCGCTACACTTTTTGTAGCGCCGCACAGGAAACAGTTCTAACGGTACCTTGCAAAGCGAGCAGAGAGAAACAATGATATTGCAAAAATGCAGGACATAAGATGATTCCAAGAAACTAGCATTCCTTATACACTGAGATATACCAATCGCCGACACATATTAAGTGTCTCACTAACTCACCGTCTCACCGATTCAACAGCACACTGACCCGCCAATGCAGTCAGCACATTTTGCAGTGTCCGCTACCATAATCGAAATTTCCTGACCTACTCTAGAATATATCTCATTTCACTATTCATTACACTAATCTTCCGTGCTCCACGTAGTATATAAACATGTATATCTTTAAGAATAAATCAGTTATCAACCCAACTTATAACTCCGCGGTT